AGTGAATCCTTTTTAGAAGGTTTTCCATTTACTTTGTCCAGATCCATCAGAGGAATCACTATCTATTGCAGCTACAGCCTTACAAAATGTATTTCTTAAATAATAAGACATGAAAGTCAGAATTACTCCTTGATCCATGAGTTGCAGAATGAACAGGAATATTTTGAAAGGAATCTTCATTCCTGAGCAACAGGTCTCAACAGCAGGCTTAAAATATTTAGTAAACCATGCTGTAAACAGATGTGCTGTCATCCAGGCTTCGTTGTTCCATTTCTAATGCACAGGCAGAGTAGATTTAGTAAAATTCTTAAAGGCCTCGGGATTTTCAGAATGGTAAATGAGCATTGGATTCCACTGAAAGTTACCAGTGCATTAGCCCCTAACAAGAGAATCAGCCTGTTCTTTTTTTTTTTTTTTTTTAGCATTGGCAAGTGCAAATTTATAGCCAAGGAGTAGGATGAGCCTGTTCTTTGAAACTAGGCATTGACTTCTCTATAGCTATAAAGTTCTAGAGGGCATCTTCCTTGAATACCAGGCTATTTCATCTCCATTGAAAATCTGTTCTTAGTGTAGCCACCTTCATCAATGATCTTAGCCAGATCTTCTGGATGAACTTGCTGACACTTCTACATTAGCACTTGCTGCTTCACCTTGCACTTTTTTCTTATGGGGACAGCTTTTTCCTTAAACATCATGAACCAAACTGCTAGTTTCAGACTTTTCTTCTATAGCTTTCTCACTTCTCTCAGCCCTTGTAGAATTTAAGAGGGTTAAAGTCTTGCTCTAGATTGGGCTTTGGCTTAAGGTAATGTTGTGGCTGGTTTGGTCTATCCAGACTATTCAACTTTCTCCACATCAGCAAAAAGGCTGTTTGCTTTCTTACCATTCACGTTTTCACTAGAATAGCACTTCTAATTTCCTTCAAGAATTTTTCTTTTGTATTTACAACTTGGCTGTTATATGCAAGAGGCCTAGCTTTTGGCCTATCTTGGCTTTTGACATGCCTCCCTCACTAAGCATAATCATTTCTAGCTTTTGATTTTCTTGAGAAATATGTGACTTCCTTTCACTTGTACACTTAGAGGTCATTGTAGGGTTATTAATTGGCCTCATTTCAATATTGTTGTGTCTCAGGGAATTGGGAGGCCAGAAGAGAGGGAGAGAAACAGGAACAGCCAGTTAGTGGAGCTGTCAGAACATATTTATCAATTCACCATCTTATAAAGGTGTGATAACAATTACTTACAACGGTAACAGCAGGATCCCCAAAACATATTATAATAATGAAAACGCTTGAAATCGTGTGAGAATTACCAAAATGTGACATAGAGATACAAAATGAACACAAGCTGTTGGAAAAATTTCACCAGAAGACTTGTCAGTGCAGGTTGGCACAAACCTTCAATTTGTTTAAAAAAAAAAATAGTCAGTGTATGTGAAGCACAATAAAATGAGGTATGGCTTAGTAGGAAACCCCACTCTTTGAGTATGAAGGTTCATAAATTGATGTATTTTTGCATTCTGGTTAAGACACCATTCTATTTCAGGGTCTGTTTTTTTGGGGGGGGGGTGGTTTCGTATTTGTGTGTCTGTGTGTGTGTGTGTGTGTTGAGATGGAGTTTTGCTATTGTTGCCTAGGCTGGAGTGCAATAGTGCGATCTTGGCTCACCACAACCTCTGCTTCCTGAGTTCAAATGATTCTCCGTGTGTGTGTGTGTGTGTGTGTGTGTGTGTGTGTGTGTGTGTTGAGATGGAGTTTTGCTATTGTTGCCTAGGCTGGAGTGCAATAGTGCGATCTTGGCTCACCACGACCTCTGCTTCCTGAGTTCAAATGATTCTCCGTGTGTGTGTGTGTGTGTGTGTGTGTGTGTGTGTGTGTGTGTGTTGAGATGGAGTTTTGCTATTGTTGCCTAGGCTGGAGTGCAATAGTGTGATCTTGGCTCACCACAACCTCTGCTTCCCGAGTTCAAGTGATTCTCCTGCCTCAGCCTCCCAAATAGCTGGGATTACAGGCATGTGCCACCATACGCAACTAATTTTGTATTTTTAGTAGAGACAGGGTTTCTCCGTGTTGCTCAGGCTGGTTTCAAACTCCCAACCTCAGGTGATTTACCCACCACTGCCTCCCAAAGTGCTGGAATTACAGGTGTGAGCCACTGTTGCCCGGGCAGGTTTTTTGTTTTTAAGTGGTTTCCCAACACTCCCCAGGGAAATTGAGCCAGAATTCCATCTGCCATCCTATTATCTTTCAAGTCAGAAGCAGTGAAAAAGGGATGTTTATATGGCACCCTGGAATAATCAGATAAGGCCAGAGGACAAGAGTCAGAGGGTTCTGCCTAATCTAAGCCCCACCACCCTGATGTCTAAGGGCCCCAGAATCAGAGGTGCCTGTAGCCTACAGGCACAAGCTGAAGTCTTTTGTCCTCGTAACAAGTTGCATCTCAAGTTTCAAAGTCAGGCTGCTGGAGTTCCAACTCCCAGGTCCATCATTTCTGGGTGTGTGGCCAGTGGTTTCTTACCCATTCAGTCTCAGTTTCCTCGTCTATAAAAAGGAATGATAGAACCACATAGGATTGCCAGCTAAATGCATTGTGTACCTTATCTCATTTAGTCTTCATGCAAACCCTCAAGACTCAATCACAAAAACATCAAGCATGTCCACACATTTCTTAACACAGAATACTCATACTACCACAAACCAACTCTCCATTGGTAGGGAATCCAGTCTGGATTGGCTTAAAATAATTACAGGAAATAAATTCAGCAGTGAAATATGTCACTGTATTGGATGCTTCCTATTTGTCATTTACTGTATTAATTTCTAGGTCTTGTGCCATGTAAGGGCTGATGAACTCAAACACTAGCTCAGCTTTTTGCATGTTCTTTTTTACCTACCTGGAGGTCCAGTGTTTCCTGTGAAATTTACTTCTAAACCAATAAATAGCCACATTTTACAGAAGCATATTCTTCATACCTTTGCTTTAAGTTAAATCTCTAACTTTGCTCTATCTTTTATTTGTTGTTTGGGGTTTTTTTTGGAACAGAGTCTTAAACTCTGGCCCAGGCTGAAGCGCAGTGGCACAATCTCTACTCACTGCAACCTCTACCTCCTGGGTTCAAGCCATTCTCCTGTCTCGGCCTCCTGAGTACCTGGGATTATAGGCACACACCACCACACCCAACTAATTCTTCTATTTTTATTAGAGACGGGGTTTTGCCATGTTGGCCAGGCTGGTGTTGAACTCCTGACCTCAGGTCATTCCCCCCACTCAGCTTCCGAAAGTACTGGGATTACAGACATGAGCCACCGCCCCGGCTAATCTGTTCTTCATTTTCTTTTCTAGACTCACTACAAAAGGGCAAGGAAGTCATCACATCTACAATTACTAACTAAAACTGTCACAGCTCTGTGTCATCTGTATATTAACTAAACTGTCTTCTCTCCCAACACCAAATCTTTGTTTCTTCTAGATTCAGTTCTCTCACTGAATGAAGAGCCTAGTCCAACCTGGTCTTTGCACCTGCCCTGATACCTTTGGAAATACCTGGATGTATTTAACTTCTCCCTGGCCTCCATGTCTTTTTCCAGCCTGAGTCAAAGTATAGTCTTTGCTCTAACCTAATTCTTTTAAGAATGACAGAGTGAAATAAGTAAAATATGTATCAGGAGGGAGAGGGAGAATGAATAGTCCCTGTTAGTTCTTGATTAATCATTATTATAACTCTGAATTCAAGGGCAATTATATAATCTTGTTAAAGCACGAGGCTAAAAACTTGACATTGAATTGTAATTTCTGTTGTGTATCTAATAACTATGAAAGCCTAGTTCTACATATTTCATCATTTATGAAGGGAATTGCAACCCCCACCACAACCAACAAAATAGTTTCAGAGACTGGGAGAGATTCAGTTATTCACTGTAAACTGAGTTTGTCCAGCCAGTGGCCCAGAATGGTTTTGAATGCTGCCCAACCAAATTAGTAAACTTTCTTAAAACATTATGCACAGACCTGGTTTTTTTTTTGCCCCTCAGCTATCATTAATGGTTATGTATTTTATGTGTGGCCCAAGACAGTTATTCTTCTAATGTGTCCAAGAGAAGCCAAAATATTGGACCACCCCTGAGTAAACACTGAAATTAATTAACTTCTTCCCTTTGGGATTTTAATTACATAAGTAATAATAAGCTCATTTTTTAATACTATACCCATTTCTGTATTGTTTGAACATGAAAAGTATTTCTCCATTCTCAAAGTTAAACATAATAACAGTCTAAATGTCATTCCAAGCTTTTCTGCAGTTATTCATACATATCACTCTTTTTCTAATATTTTATCAGGAAAATCCTCACACATACAGAAGGAACTTTCCAGTAAACCCACCACCTAGATCTACTATTAACATTTTACTCTGCTAGTTTCATCACATATTCATTCATCCATCAAATCAGTCTTGTTCATTTATGCATTTCATAATAAACTGCAGACATTAGTATATTTCCACCTAAATATTTCCTCATTCATACCATTAATGATTCAGTATTTCTTTTACAATTTTGTCTTTTGAAGTAAATATTACATATGATGAGACACATAGGTCTTAAAAGTACATTTGCTAAGTTTTGATAAATGTATATACCTGTATAACCCCAGTCCTATCAAAGATACAGAATATTATCCATCAGCCCCAGAAAGTTCTCTCCTGCCCTGTCCCAGTTAATCTTTATCCCATCTCTCCAGAAATAACTCCTTTTCTGATGTTTTTCCACCAGAGATATCACAAGATATCACGTGGTCTTGTATGATTCATTGTGAACCATAGATGTACACATGTAGGTTGAATTATTGGTCATAGGCCATACTGATGTTAAGTGCTTTTTGTTAAAAGGATTCATATTTATGATGATTTTAGTTCTATAATCACTGCTTCTTAGTCAGATTATTTGACTAGTATAGATGGGTTTTACAAAAATTATGTGTAATTCTTTTTTTTAACCTCAGGGAACCTCCACAAGGAGCTCTTCTTGCCAGAAGTCTGGATGATGCCTTAAAACTTACTGAACAACCAGAATTAGCAAATAAAGTAGACATGATTTGGATAATTGGTGGCAGTTCTGTTTATAAGGTAAGTAAAGTTATTGGTAAATAAAAAGAAATGTTTTATTCTACTTTCTTTCAGCTTCCCTGACATTTAAAGGAGGTGGAACAGGTATAACTCATTGTCTGAACCTTGGAAGCAGCACATTATGTGTACTGTAAATTATTTGTTGTCAATTCAAATTACTTGTTTGATACTATCATACAAACTAAATAACAATGCAAAAATAAATAGTCTGTATCAGCCTATCTTTTATTTATTTATTTATTTATTCATTTAATTTTGAGACAGGGTCTTGCTTTATCACCCAGGCTAGAGTACAGTGGCAGTATCTCAGCTCACTGCAACCTTGAGCTCCCAGGCCCAAGCAATCCTCCCACATCTCCTCCAAAGCAGTAGCTGGACCTATAGGCACACACCATCAGGCCCAGCTAATTTTTGTAATTTTTTGTAGAGTCAGGGTTTCACCATGTTGCCCAGGCTGGTCTCAAACTCCTAGGTTCAAGCAGTTGACCTCCCAAAGTGCTGAGATTACAGGTGTGATCCACCACACCCAGCCTATTTATCTTTTTAATTGACAAATAATTGCATGTCATGTACAACATCTTGTTTTGAAATGTGTATATAGTGGAGAATGCCTAAAGTAAGCTAATTAACATGTATTACCTCACTTATTTTATGTGGTAAGAACACTTAAAATCTACTCTCTTAGCAGTTTGCAAGAAAGTATTTGTTATTAACTGTAGAATAATAGACGTTGTACAATAGATCTCTTGAACTTACTCCTCCTATGTAACTAAAATTTTGTATCCTGTGACCAGCATCTTCCTAATACCAGTCTACTTTTAAATCAAAGAATAATTGATGTTTCCAATTTAAAATCCACTCTAAATCCTTTCCTGAGAATTGTACTTGTACTGTACTGGTTTTTACTCCCTGAATGTACTCTAGATACACTGAGTTATCCCTTTGTCTTTCAAGATGAATACGTCTCTTACCAGGAAAGGTTTGGGGCTCTCAGTTGATATATACTATCTACATGTATATGAATTTATTACAAGCAGAAAACTTCCTCAGTCAATTTGCATGTAATGTGAGGACACAGGAGAAAGATGACATGATTTTATAGCATAAGGAAAAATAGTATATAAAACAAATACTTCTTTTTTAATACCAAATGACTTCCAGCTTTAAAATTTTTGAGGATAACAAAATTTTTTGCCTTCTAGAACACTAATGATAATAACGTTTATGAGGAGGAGAAAAAAAATCAGTTTCTGCCATTTGAGTCTTGTGGTAACATACATGCATTGAAATTATTTTAGAAAGAAGAGATAGGCTGATGCCTGTAATCCCAGCACTTTGAGAGGCCAAGGCGGGTGGATTGCTTGAGGTCAGGAGTTGAAAACCAGCTTGGCCAACATGGTGGAACTCCGTCTCTCCTAAAAATACAAAAGTTAGTCAGGTGTGGTGGTGGGTCCCAGCTACTCCGCAGGCTGAGGTGGGAAAATTGCTTGAACCCAGGAGGCAGAGGTTACAATGAGCTGAGATTGCGCCACTGCACTCCAGCCTGGGTAACAGTGAGAGTCTGTCTCAAAAAAAAAAAAAAACCTCAAGTTTGTTGGGCTCCTGTTTCTATAACCCCTTATTTTCCCCATTGGTAGCAAAAGAAAACGTACATCGTTTCTTGATATTTCCATCCAAATATGAATTTCTTCTAAGAAAACAAGTTATTTGTTTTGTTCAATACATACCACACTTCGAATGATTCATTACCACAGTCACTTGATAATGTATTCATTTACAACATAAATACATAAATGCATTTATATAATATGATCAATCTATATATATAGATAAATAGGAAGTAGAACCTTAAAATGATATTTTTACATTATCCACCTACCTCACATCACAACAGCTTGTAGATACCGTTTGGACTTATCTTCCTATGGGCCAAATCAGACCTCCCAGCCTATGTTTGTAAAGAAAGTTTCGTTGGAACACAGCCCTTCCCATTCGTTCAGTACTGTCTGTGGCTTACAAAGGTAGGAAACCCTATGGCCCTCAAGGCCTAAAATATTTACCATCTGGCCCTTTACAGAAGGTTTGCGTTGTATAATCAACTTTACTACAGAACTTCAAATGCTGCCATAGTTAGCCCTACAGTAGCCACCCCCCCACTCCGCCCCATATTCTCAGGTGATATATTCCAAGACCCTCAGCAGATGCCTGAAACTACAGATATTACTGAATTCTATCTATGCTGTTTTCTCCTATGTATACATACCTATGATAAAGTTTAACTTATATATTCAGTTAGGGATTAACAACAATAGTAAAATAGAACAATTATAACAACATGCCAGCATCATTACTCTTGCATTTTGGGGCCATTATTAAGTATTTTATTATTTCCTTGAATAAAATCTTAATTGTAAGATTTCCTTAAGCACCACCATTGCCATACCAGTCAATCTAATCCAGATGGCTCCTAAGTGACTAAGGGGCAGGTAACATAGACAGAAAGTGCAGGGAGAATTTAATTCCTGGACAGGACAGCAGAATGGCACGAGATTTCTTCACACTACTCAAAATAGCATGCCATTTGAATCTTAGGCATTATTTCTAGAATTTTCCATTTAATATTTTCAGACTACAGTTGACCACAAACAAACTGGAAAGTGAAACCGCAGGTAAGGGGGGACTACTGCATTCCACTTTTTAAATTTTGGTAGAGTAAGAATTGGTGGAGTATCTATTGGGTTGTAGCAAACTGATTTAATATAAAATGATGTATTGAAGATAAAATTTGTTCCCTTATTTGGAATTTTAAAAATAACACACACTTGGATTTGTATATGTGTGTATATATTTTTTATATCTATATAAAATTTTATAATTTCTATATAATTTTTTTAAAAATTTTTATATAAAATTAAATCTAGTTTCTTAATTTCAACTCTAAAAAAGCAGTAATTCTTGATCTTAAATAGCTTACAGGCTATTTGGGAAACCAAGGCAGGTGGATTGCTTGAGAGTCAGGAGTTCTACAAGTCATAGGCTATTTGAGATCAAGAATTACTGCTTTCTTAGAGTTGGAATTAAGACATACTTTTTATGAATGAGAATTTTAAGATGCTCATTCCAGGGCAGCTTTTTCTGCAGAAACTATCAACTGTATTTTACGCAGTTGTTAGAAAAATCATGTACAATATAAAGCCAAATATTAATATAATTGTTAGCAACAAGAAGCAGAATAAATTACCTACCTACTAGCATTGTAATTATCTTTTGAGAATTGGAAGTGTTAGTAAATTTTATGTATATGTACTAAGTGTGCTCTTGGGGTTCACCACAATCAAGGTCTTATTAAATTGTACTATCTTTTTCATATATGTGTATATAAATTTTTCTATGGAGAGCATCTTGATAATTTAGGGCTCTTTTAACAGCCAAAGGAAAACAATAAAAGAGAATGCTGAAACTAAAAAGTTTTTGTAAGCAAACTGGAAACCAGACTATATTTAAACTCAGTCTCTCATAATCATTGGCCGCATGCGGGGTGAGGTGGCTCACACCTATAATCCCAGCACTTTGGGAGGCTGAGGTGAGCGCACCACCTGAGGTCGGGAGTTCGAGACCAGCCTACCCAACGTGGAGAAACTCCGTCTCTACTAAAAATACAGAATTAGCCGGGTGTGGTGGCCCATGCCTGTAATCCCAGCTCCTCAGGAGGCTGAGGCAAGGGAATTATTTAAACCCAGGAGGCGGGGGTTGCAGTGAGCCAAGATTGCACCATTGCATTCCAGCCTGGGCAACAAGATCAAAACTCTGGCTCAAGGAAAAAAAAAAGAGTTCTTATATGGAGGCCACACTGTATTTAAACTCAGGCTCTCATAATTATTGATAATGGTTAGTGTTACTCTCAATATAACTAAGGCATACTTTGCAGCATCCGAGATGAAAGAATAGGATATTTAAATAATATTCTTTGGGGTACCAAGCATATCTTTAATACCTAGTATAAACTTAACTAATCAAACATAAATCTTAGAATTTCTATGTCTTTTGGCATACATTAAGAAAACTGATGTTGTTTTATTTCAAAGGAAGCCATGGATCACCCAGGCCATCTTAAACTGTTTGTGACAAGGATCATGCAGGACTTTGAAAGTGACACGTTTTTTCCAGAAATTGATTTGGAGAAATATAAACTTCTGCCACAGTAAGTATAATGTTATTAATTAGTCTGAAGCACTTTGGCTTTCATGCTTAATACTATAGAAAAGAGCATGTCTTTTCAGACTGAAAATTGGGTTCACTGTGTACTGCTTGGGTGATGGGTACACCAGAATTTCACAGATCACTACTAAAGAACTTATGTAACCAAATACAGCCTGTTCCCCAAAAACCTACGGAAATAATGTATTTTTTTTAATGGCTAGGCACAGTGGCTAACTCCTGTAATCTCAGCACTTTGGGAGGTTGAGGCAGACAGATCACCAAGGTCGGGAGTTCAAGACCAGCCTAGCCATCATGGTGAAACCCTGACTGAACTAAAAATACAAAAAAAAAAAAAAAAAAAAAAAAAACCCAGCCAGGCATGGTGGTACCATGCCTATAATTCCAGTTCCAGTTCCTCAGGAGGCTGAGGCAGGAGAATCACTTGAACCTGGGAAGCAGAGGTTATAGTGAGCCAAGATCATGCCATAGCACTCCAGCTTTGGATTCTGTCTCAAAAAAAAAGAAAGAAAAGAACATGTCTTTTTAGATTGAATCCAGAGGGACAATATGTTTTATAGACAAATTCTGTAGAAATTTTTGGCATCTGCTTCAGTAGACTTGGAAATGTTCAGGTTTTAATGATGTTGCTGAAATCTAGAAGAGTAGTTATTAGTTCATTCTAGGAGAATTACACATTATCTAGGCACTGGGGAAACAGTGTTTACCAGGCCAGCCACTACTGATCTTCTCCAGGAGATTACATTCTTTCTAGTGAGGGCCAAATGGCAGAGGCATCAAAAGAGGTGCATGTGGAGAACTAAAATACTGTAATGTGGCAGATACTGGGTAGTGTGAGACATCTTTGCTGAAGGGTGATGTCTATGCTGTGATCTAAATAAGAAGCCAGCCCTGCAAAGAGCAGGAAGGACATTCTAGCACTCGGCAATAGCTGGCGCAAAGGCCTCAAGCAGGAATATGCTTGGTGTGTTCTCTGAGCCTGAAGCCACTGGAGGCCTTGTGAGCAAGCAGGAGGCCCACAGAGGTCAGACCAAGTACAGGGTGAGAGGGTTCTGAAGAGAGAGTGACATTGTTCTAGCTGCTTTGTGGTGAATGGACCAGAAAAGTGAACTAGGGAGAGCTTTGTCATTCTGGTGAAAGATGAAGGAACTTAGGTAAGCTGTGGCAGGTGGAGATGGAGTGAAGAGGTTACTCTTGCTTCACCTTGTGGTTTGACTAGCATGAAACTGCCTGATTTTGAAAACTCAGCATTTTTGTTTACAAGCAATTTTTAGCTGTTGGCTTTAGAGAATAAAAGTAAAAGATTATTATATCAATACTTTTGGAATAGCTTTTAGCACATTCTTTCACATATTCTCAGTTTTATCTAGTCATTATTCTTTGAGTGTGGTTTGTGTTTGAAATGTCCCTTAAAGGAACATTCAGAGCCAAGTCTGAATACCAAGATGGCCAGGCTTCAGATTTAATAGTCTATTACTTTATGAAGTAATAGTTTTCAATCAACTGAAATGAGTGACTGATTTTCTTGGACTCTTGTCTCTAAAGAAAACTGAATTTTCAGAACTATAAACAGCTAAAGTACAGGCTTTTCCTTAGGCTCCAAAGGTGACTACTTAGAAAACTCACACTTAGTGATTTTTTTACTTTGTCATACCTTATACGTTTTATTTTCACTTCTGCTTAGACCACTGATTCTCACATTATGGGACTATTGATACCTGCTCAAACTCATTTCTCATTTCTTTTTCTTTTTTTTTTTTTTTTTTTTTTTTTTTTTTGAGACGGAGTCTTGCTCTATCACCCAAGCTGGAGTGCAGTGGTGTGATCTCAGCTCACTGCAACTTCTGCCTCCCAAGTTCAAGTGATTTGCCTGCTTCGGCCTCTCTGAGGCTGTGATCACAGGCATGTGCCACTACGCCTGCCTAATTTTTCTATTTCTAGTACCAATGGGGTTTTGCCATGTTGGTTAGGGTGGTCTAGAACTCCTGACCTCAAGTGATCCACCCACCTCGGCCTCCCAAAGTGCTGAGAGTATAGGCAAGAGCCACTGCACTGAGCTTTGAATTCATTTCTTATTTATCTCTTCACTACTAACAATATATTGTTATGTAAATCAGCTTCATGTTAAATGCCATTCCAAATCATATTGCTTTCAATCGGAACTCTTTCCAAAGCTATGACCCTTTAGGATCCTTGATAACTTAAAACAAACACCATTCTGGCTCTCTGGCTTTTAGAAGAGAAAAATTAGTATCTTTACTGAAATAGCATTCACATATCATAATATCGATCTATTGAAAGTGTATATATAATTTGACCAGGCATCATGGCTCATGCCTATAATCCCAGCACTTTGGGACACGAAGGCAGGGGGGTTGCTTGAACCGAGAAGTTTACAACCAGGCTGGGCAACGAAGAAGACCCCCATCTCCTCAAAAAATATAAAAATTAGCTGGGTGTGGTAGCACACACCTCTGGTCCCAGCTACTTAGGAGGCTGAGGCAGGAGGATTGATTGAGCCCAGGAGGTCGAGGCTACACTGCCTTGATTATACCATTGTACTCCAGCCTAGACAACAGAGCATGACCATGTCTCAAAAAAAAAAAAAAAGATGTATAATTGAGAATGATTTTAGTATGTTCAGAGTTGTGTGACCCTCACCACAGTATAAGTTTAAAACATTTTCATCACCCACCCAACCCCCACCATTATGCAGGCAGTGCCTACCCATATAACAAGTAAGCACATGAACCCTCTGAATCTAAACTAAAAATAAATTTTAAAAAATTTTCTGACCCAAATCCTACTAATTATCAAAAATTTGCACATAAATATTGGTAATTATGTGCATAATAATTTATTATTCCTAGTATATAATTTATATATATTTATATATAAAGTAATAAATAATTTTTATATATTACTACATATAGCATATTTGTTTTCAAGAGGTAACATTCATGACACTATAGACTAGAATCCCATTGTATCAGGCTTTCTGCATACCCTGGTGTAAACTGACAGTTTTTTTGTTTTTTTCTTTTTGATTGCATTTTGGGTTTTGGGGTACATGTGAAGAACATGCAGGATTGTTGCATGGGTGCACACATGGCAGTGTGATTTGCTGCCTTCCTCCCCATCACTTATAATCTGGCAGTTTTTTAAATAATCAAGTACACAATAAATTCACATTCATTTTTTAAAAAACCTTTTTTTAACAATAATATGTTCTATGGTTTAAAAAAAAAATTTTTCTTTCATCACCAAGAAAGAAAATCCCTGTACCCATTAACAATCAGTCTCCATTCCTCTCCCCTTCCGGGCCTAGGAACCACTAATCTACTTTCTTTTTGTGTCTATAGATAGGCCTGTTGTGGACAGTTTGTATGAACAGAATCATATAATATGTGGTCTTTCTTGGAATTGGCTTCTTTCCCTTAGCATAATATTTTCAAATTTCAAGGTTTATCCATGTCATACTATCAGTACTTCATTCCTGTCTGTTGCCAAAAACATATTCCATGGTACAGATAGACTACTTTTTATTTATCCATTCATCAATTGGTAGGCATTTGGTTTATTTCTACTTTTTGGCTATTGTGCTATGAACATTCATGTGCAAGTCTTTTTGTGGGTGTATGTTTTCTTTTTTCATTCTTTTTTTTGTTTGTTTGAGAAAGAGTCTGACTGTGTCACCCAGGCTAGAGTGAAGTGGCATGATCTTGGCTCACTGCAACCTCTACTTCTTGGGCTCTAGCCATCCTCCCAACTCAGCCTTCCAAGTAACCAAGTATAAAGGTGCATGCCACTATACCTGGCTAATTTTTTTGTATTTTTTGTAGACAGGGTTTTGCCATGTTGTCCAGGCTGGTCTTGAACTTCTGAGCTCAAGCGATCTACCCATCTAGGCCTCCCAGCATGCTGGGATTACAGGCATGAGCCACTGCACCCAGCCAGATGTATGTTTTCATTTCTCTTCAGTGTCATCTAGAAAAAGAATTGCTGTGTCATGTGGACTTTCTGTTCACATTTTGAAGCACTATCAAACTGTTGTTCAACATGCCTGTATCTTTTTACATTCCCACTAACAATGAATAAAAGTTATAGTTTCTTCACATCCTCAACACTTGTTATTATCTGTCATTTTGGTTATCAGCATCCTAGTGGAAGTAAAGAAATATCTCATGGTTTTGATTTGCATTTCCCTAGTGATTAATGATGTTGAGCATCTTCTCAGGTGTTTATTGGCCATTTGAATATATTTCTTGGTTGCAATATCTATTCAAATCCTTACTTATTTTAAAAATGCTGTTATCTTTCTATTGAGTTTTTAGAGTCCTTTGAATATTCTGTATATAGGACTTAACAGGTATATGATTTGCAAATATTTTTCTCCCATTATCTATATTCTTTTTCACTTCATGATATCATTTGCAATACAAAAGTTTTCCATTTTAATATCGTCCAATTTATGTATTTTTTTCTTTTGTCACTTGTCTTTTGGTGTAATACCTAAAAAAACCATTGCCAAACCAAGCTCATGAAGATTTATTCTTCTGTTTCCTTCTCTAAGAGTTTTGAAGTTTTAACTCCTACATGGAAGTCTACGCTCCACGTGAGTTCATTTATGTATGGTAGAAGGAACAGGTCCAACTTCCTTCTTTCGTAAATGTACCTATAATTGTCGAGCACTGTTTGTTGAAAAGGCTATATTTTCACCTATTGAATTATTTTTTTACCCTCATTGAAAATCAGTTGGCCATAAAGGCAGGAGTTTATTTCTGTACTATCAATTCTATTCAGTTGATCTATATGTACATTCCATGCCACCTTGATTCCTTTTTTTTTTTTTTTTTTTTTTTTGTGGTGGGGTGTTGCTTTGTCACCCAAGCTGGAGTACAGTGGCGCAGTCTCCTGGGTTCAGGTGATTCTCCTGTCTCAGCCTCCCAAGTAGCTAGGACTATAGTAGAGATGGGGTTTCAC